TAATGACCAAATATATAATTATACAAATTTTATTAACTTATACGTCGCCATTTTTTTAAACTTAACGACCAATGGCTTGATTGAAGCTTTTAAATAGCTGAGTGGTCTGATTGATCAAATCGAAACATCAGTGGTCAAAATGAAAATGAGCAATAGTTTAGTGGTCACCTGTGTAGTTTACCCTAATTATAATCATGTGTGTATAACTTGATGAAATGCGAATGACATCACGTTATAATATGTCACTTATTTATAAGTAAAATTCTTATTATTATGTTTGAAGATTTTTAGATTTCAATAATTGTTTATTAGTACACATTGTACATTAATTGTTTATATGATTATTGTTGCAGCCTAATTATTTTTAGTAACAATATCGAAGTTGAGCTGATTTCTCATGTTAAGTTGAATTTGGATAAGGTTAAAGTTGTCTTGTACTCTTAAGTTATATTTTAAAAAACAAAAAGTTAAAATTTCAACTGTTTTTTCAGTCCTGAGTTATTATTATTATTATTATTATTATTATTATTAATGAACTCCAAACAACTCGAGGGTAGGCAAGAGCTTTGCTCCTCGAGCTAATGATACAATTTCCTTTGTTCATTATTTTAGAAATGTAACAATTTAATTGATCTTTATTAGTCCTTTAGTTAAATGGAAATTTTCATCTTTTCCCCTCCCAAAAAACTAAAAATTCAATTTATTTTTGTAAAGAAATTTGGCTTTTTCTCCATCGTTTTAGTTTTTTCTTGCCCCAATGGTAAAAATTTTAGCTTCACCCTTGTCAACGGTTAGTACTAAATAAATAATTAATATAATTAATAATATTTTCTTTTAATAAAATACACAAATTTAATATTTTTTATGAAATTATAAAAACTATTTTAATATTAATTTTAATTTAATAATATTTGACTAAATTATTTTAAAATTTTAAAAATAATATTAAATTTTATAATAAATAATAAGGTAAAATATATAAATAGTCCCCGAACTTTTAGGCCACTTGCATCTAGGTCACCTAGCTTTTAAAACTTGCAATACAATCATTAAACTTTTAGTTCGTTTTCATTAAGGTCCCCGTTGTTACCTCCCATTAGTTTTTGTTGATGTGGCACTTAACTGTCGTTAACACTTCCCCATCTTCTTCCTCCTCCTCCTCCTCCTCTTTTTCTCCTATTCTCGTTCACCCTTCCTCCGGTCACCGGTGGCTCATACTGCCATCACCGTCGTCACCAGTGTCGTCTCCCGACCGCACCCAGACCCTCGATTCATACTCACTGTCCATTTTTCATCCCAAATCGTGAGAAAACCCCAACACCTCTTTTCTTTTTTTAACCAACGACAAACGGAGGAGGGATGATAGCAAGAAAGCATGGTCGATAGGGTTTTGGTCCAAACAGTGTGAGGACTTCAACGGTGGTGGCAGTATGGCGAACAAACAGTCTAATCGGTCGAAAATCGATGAAAATAGAAGGGGTGTAGGGGTTTTCCGACAAGATTCGGGACTCTCTCCATGGATAATAAAAGTGAGTCTCATCAAGTGGTTAGTAGGGTTTTGGTCGGAATTGGGTGGCACTGCGGTGATAGTCACTAATGACTGACGACAGAGATCGGAAATTGTTGTTTGAATGGTCTTCTTGCGATTTGGTATGAATTGTGGATGTTGAGTATGAATCGAGGATCGGGGTGTGGTTGGGAGGCAATGTCGGTAACGATGACGACGACGATGTGAGCCACCGTTGACCGGAGGTGTGGTGAATAGGAACGAGAGAAGTAGAAGAAGATGGGGGAAGGGTTAACGGTAGTTAAGTGCCATGTCAACAAAAACTAACAGGAGATAACGGTAGGGACCTTATTGAAAATGAACTAAAAGTTCAATGAATGTATTGTAAGTTTTAAAAGTTGAGTGACCTAAATGTAAGCTTCCTAAAAGTTCAGGGACTATTTGTATACTTTACCCTAAATAATATCACTTATTGTATTGAATATTAATAATGAATAATTTTATAAAAAAAATCATCCACGAAAAATTATTTATATAACATCATTCAAACATGATAAAATGATTTTTAAAAAATATAATTAATTTTATTTAAATTATTTTCCAAAAAAAAAATTACAATATATCAAACATTAAAAGTGTTTCGATTTGAAATATATTTAACGATTCACACGTGTACCGCTGTGCGATATAGTTCATCAAATATAGATAGTGCAGCGACCTCAGTCAGAGAGCTAAATTGTGTCTATTTACATTATATTTATGTTATGTACAAATGACTCATGACTTGGATGGTTTCCGATCATCAGAACCGCGTTTTGTGTATAAAGAGCCCACGGCTGCAACTTCAGTGGCTGAAGTTACCGTGGCAGATAAAGGCTGGAAATTGGTGCTACCAATAAACCAGTAGAGAGTCCATTTCAGATTGCAGAGGCTATATTTCAAAGCTTTGGTCCAGTTCTCTTGCTTATTGAAGCTTTGCGTGCTGGAGTAGTTTTCAACTTTATCATTCTCGATCCTGTAACACACCACCAATACAAGTTGGGATATACTCTATTTACAACTCACCAAAATCACATTGATCTTTCAGAATTAAAAAAAAAAAAAAACAGACTCAAGAGGACAATTCTACATAGAAAGGAAATCTTACTTGTAGGGCAAGTTGAAGCATTTCTCAGGTGGAATGTTGTTTCCTAGATCCTTGGCATTTGCAAACTTGGCAAAGTCCTTAAGGCATGTTAAGAATAACGTCATTGCTTTGTCATACCGTGTACTCCAGAACAAGTTCACCGGACCAAACCTAAAACACAGTTAGTAGCTGAAAAATAAGTGTGACCCATAAAACAAAAAAGATGAGATTTCCCAGATTTATGCACTGTGTACTCTGAGGATGCACCAATGCTTTCAGGTTCACATGTTTGTACTCTTAATATTCTGAATCAAATAATTCAGAAAGTCACAACTCTTGATACTTACAACTCATATGTATTGTTGTTGCTGTCCATTACGCGAGGGTAGCTTCCCAGTGGAATTATCTTTATCCGATAGCTGAAAGTCAGTGATCAAGGATACATCACATATCACTTTATAACCACTTTAGTAATGAAAGGTAACCAAGTTCCCCAAAAGTTAGCATACCGGACAATTTAACTATTGTTTTACCTTACACAGACAGAATTCATATTAGCATGGGAAAAGAGCTAAATACAGCAACTTGATCAATTATACCCACCACCCCACCAAAAAAAAAAAAAACGGCATAAATTCTCATGGAACTACATCATAAGCTAACAGTGATTCGAAAAGGATACTGAAATTTTGGTCGGAAATATTGGCACATTGTATGAAGTAGGAGGCAAGCTTGACCCCAGGCAGCATTTATTTCATCCCACTCAACCTAAACCAAAAGCAACAAAGATCAGTCACTCTTCACTACCAACAAAAACAAATATTTATATGGAAAACGATGCCAATCTTACTGGAACTTTAGGCAGTCGTCCAAGACGAAAATTATTTATAGTTCCAAATTCTCCATCATGCCAGATGGGAAAGCATCACTGAGCACATTAGTTCGCTTTAACAAATCTAAATGTGCTTGCGAAACTTCAGTCTTCGCCAAAATTGCATCTCTCTTCCTGTTAAGCATAAATATTTTACAAATGTAAGAAGGCGATTAAAGAGTTCGCTTTGTCATTTGAAAGAGGCATTTGTTTGCAAATGTTGATTAAATTTATTACTTACAACTATGTATATAACACTTTAGTGTGAAAAAAATATTTGATTCATTAGCAATAGTGTTCAATTTGACTTTAGTAAGATTGACATTTCCTGAAGCATGAACTGTCTTTATTCCTCAAGTGTAGTTTAAAGAAAAAATTGGTCAAGAAACCGAATAAGAACAAACCTGATGAGCAATTAATCGAATCTGAAAGTTGTTAAACTCTTGCCAATACCTGTGACACATTGATTCCAACAAGCATAAGGATCTGGTAACTAAATATCCTGGCCATATACAAATCAAGGTGTAAATTTTTATTTAATATAATTTATTTTTATGTTGTTATTAATTAATTTAAATTAGAAATATTGATCATAATAATGGTAAAAATACTGATGTTACATTGAAAAACTATTTTTAGACATTTTACTAATATGAAAATTTTCTATTAGATTTAGTTATTTTACGTGATTTTTTTATAATATTATATATCATAAAATTAATTAGAATAAAAATGGTGATAATAATTTGAATTAACTAGAAATATTAAAAAATAGAGTTAATTGTATCATACATTCTTAAACTATGGTTCTTGTTTTAAATTGGTCCTTAAACATTTGAATATTGCAATTTCATCGTTAAACTAAGATTATCATTTTAAATTAGTCTTCAATTTTTTTAATATTTTTAATATTTTAGTATCATCCCCAAATTATATCCTTTATTCTAAATTGGTCCCCAAACATTTTCAACATTTCAAATTTATCCCAAATTAAATGTATATACTAATCACATCCCATGTTAATAAAATCGATAGGCCAATTCATATAATTATTGTTTGAAAAAAAATAAAGTTTAGGATTCTGGTTAAAATTAATTACATATTTGGATGGATTTGGGGATAAAATTGGAAGATTTAAAAGTTTAGGGATCAATTTAAAATAAGAGTCATAGTTTGAGGATGGAATTGGAATGTTTAAAAGTTTAAGGACTAATTAAGAATGAGCATCATAATTTGAGGATGAAATTGAAATATTCAAAAGTTTCGGGATCAATTTAGAATGGGAGTCATAGTTTGAGAACATATGATGAAATTAAGTCTAAATAAAATAAAGTAAAAGATCAAAATATATGAAAATAAAATATAAGGGTTGAATTTCAAAGTTTTGTATAAAATGTACCGAAATAAAATTTTGACCTTTTTATTTAAGGAATGCCCGGTGGAGTTGACCCGGGCAACAATTATATTAAAATTTTGATTCTCACGAGATTAGGGGTTTTTTATAATCGGGATGCCAACCCTAAATCCCCCCTTTCTCCTGATCCCTACATTTGATTTAGACAGAACAAAGGAGTTTTCCCCTTAAATCACAAACGTACCAGTTATGGAAGATCATCAAATTAGCGGAAACGATATCAACAAGGAACTAAACCCAAGGCAGTTACAGCTATTCGTTAAACTTCTCAATGGCAGAACTTTGTCGCTCCAATTCCCTACCCCTCAAGTCCATGTCGGTGATGTCAAGCATCGAATTCAGGAAATTACCCAAATCCCTATTGATTTCCATCGCCTGATTCGCGGTCATCAACTTAATGACGAGTCGGTGATTTCTCAGTCCAATGCCACCCTCAATTTCTCCCTCAGGCTTCTTGGTGGCAAAGGAGGTTTCGGATCGCTGCTACGTGGTGCAGCCACGAAGGCCGGGCAAAAGAAGACGAACAATTTCGAGGCGTGCCGAGACATGAGCGGAAGGAGGCTCAGGCATGTAAACGCTGAGAAGAGGTTGGAGGAGTGGAAAGCGGAAGAGGAACAGAGGAAGTTGGAGAAGATGGCGGAGGACTTCATAAAGAAGAAAGCAAAAACTGGGAAAAAAGGAGTCGGAGATGTAGCGGCCGAGAAGTATGTAGCAAAATATAGGGAGGAGTCAGCGAGATGCGTGGCGGTGGTTGAAGAGTCTGTCAGGGCAGCGTGCCAAAACAGAAAGCGTAAGGCGGTGCCAGGAGGGGCTGACCCCAAAAAATTGAAGATTTGGTAAGTTTTAAGATCATTTGATTTGCTTGTAATTTAGACTGGTATTTAAATTTGGATCATTTATTTGTTTTTGTTTTCTTATATAGGATGGGAAAGAGTAAAGTTGTTGAGAGTGATAGTGATTATGATGATAGCAGCGAGGATGAAGAAGAAAATGAGAAATCTGTAGTTTTGAACAATGGGAATCATTCAGATTACAGCAAGGCAACTGAAGGGAGTTCCGGCTCGGTTTCCGGTGGTAATCATGATATCGAAATTTCAGGTGGAGCCTCGAGTGAGACTGGTTCTGAGGAAGGGAAGGAGGTTGTTGTGCACCAAAGCTCCGAATCCTGTGGCGAAGATGCCAATGCCATGGTTGAAGCAGATGTGATTGCTGGAAATGAACAAGGTCAAGCTGAGATGCTGGAACATTATGGAATTAAAACTGAAGATCCGGTTGAAATAGTTAGTCAACATTTCAATGTTCCAGTTGCAGAAACTGAAGATGGAAATAAACTTAACAATGAAGTCAATTGCTCATCTAACCCGGAATCAGGAGTTTGTGAAGAAACAGTAGTTTCAAATGCTAACATTGCAGAACCAGAAAAGCCATTGAACTTTGATGACTTCAATTCTTCTGAAGAGATGGAGGTATGGCTGCACACTTGAAATTCTTTTCCTATTTCTAGGTTTAAAATAGAGATCAATACCATTGATGCATCTAGTTGGTTTTAAAAAAAGATACTACTTTCAACAAACTCTATGATTGCATTCCTAGATTATATAGATATTCAGCAGTTTGTAGTCTGTTGTAATTTTATCGAATGCTTTTCTTTAGCCTGATGAATCCAATCATAGTTTTTTCTATGTTAATTAGGCTCTGTCTTCATGTTCTTGTGCAAAACAGTTGGACAATACAAATTGAATAATAGAAGACAATTTATCATGATGATGTTGTTGCATTTATAATGCTTAATGTCGATACGTCGTTAACTGTTATATCATTTCTGAAGATTCTTGGACTGGAGCGGCTGAAATCTGAACTGCAAGCACGTGGGCTAAAATGTGGTGGAACATTGCAAGAGCGAGCTGCCCGTCTTTTCTTGCTAAAATCTACCCCTTTCAATAAGCTTCCAAAGAAGTTGCTTGCAAAGAAATGAAATAATCATATGTAGTAAGCTGAGGGTTCACATCACCTCATAAGGGATGTTACTTTCTGTCAAACCAAGAAATGTGCATATTTCGTTTGTTCTGTTTAATGTTGTATGACTTGGTTTTTGTAAGCTGAAACCCGGTTAGTTAAAGGGATCGTGAAAGTCCTAATGCGTATGACGCCTTATTGAATATGAAGTATATTTATGAATGGTAACAATATATTGTATCTTAGAGAAGAATGTGATGAGATTAGGCTATTTATATCTTTCATGGTGGAACCCTCATCTTGCAGGCTCCCTATGATTGAAGATGTTGTCCTTGCATATGATGCCTTGTTGTTCTATGGATGATTAACCAATGTAGGTAAGATATTGAAATCATCTTTAAAACCAAGTGTCCGGTGAGGCCTTTGTGGTTTCTCTGCTGTGTTAGTATTCAGGGTTGTAAATGAATCGTTTGTGAATTGTTTGGCACAAAGTTTGTTTATATTTATTTATTTATTAAACGATAAGGAACAAGATTTTCTGTTCGTTTATTTAAATGAACGAATATGAACAAATGTCTTGTTTCTTCATTTACGTTCACGAACGTTCGATAATCTATTCGTTTATGTTAATTTATTTTTGTTTAAATTTATTCATATATGTATTTTCCACCCAGCAGGTCACCATCTTTTTCGTTTAAATCCATTTGTTTATGTTTGTTTAAATTTATTAACATGTGTTTGTTCTTTTATATTCATTTATCATTTTAGCGAACGAACACAAACAAGCTACATTCATTAGAACACGGACAAAAAAATTACATTTATTTAGTTGTTCTTAATCGTTCGTTTGTTCGATTGAAGTTAACCAATAATTACGAACATATCCTTGTTCATATTCGTTCAGATAGTTTACAAGCATGCTAGTCTTAATCTCTAGCATTCACTTGTCACTAAGTGCTTTGATTTGATATATTAATAAAAGAGAAGTTTGTGGAAGATGCAGTTTCAATTTTTCCTAAATTGTTCGATCTCCCATCAAGATCATAGAATGCCACTAAAAGTTTTAGCCCAATCATGTCATCACAATTTTCACCAAATCAATTTTTAATCACAAATGGGCGTTATGTCACGGACTTAATCGCTCAATAAGCCTCGTGCGGCCTTAACTCCTTTTCGCCCCTCGCGATAGCTAAGTCAGCCTCACTCGAACTCGTGCTAGAGAAAGGATTGGCAAGGAAACAAAGAAGAAAGGAAAGAACTTAGAGAGAAAGCTTGTTGAATGCTTGAATGCTTACAACTCTTGGATGATTTACAAATGAGGATTCTACACCTATTTATAGCATCCCACCTCCTCAATGGACGGTGGAGATTGATTTGATCCTACGGTAGGGAGAGATTCTCTAGAATTCTCCATTATTTCCTACCTAACATGGAAGACTCTAGAATGCTTCTAGAATATGTACAAGTCTTGAGTGTTCTAGAATAATCTACACTATTCTATCAACCTCCAAGACCAAATGTGGCCCAACATAGCCAAAATAGCCCAAAGTGTGGGAAAAGGCCCAATTTCGTGACATTCTCCCCCACCTATTCTGGCGTCGTCCTCGTCGCCTCGTACGCTTTGAGATGTTCTTCGAACTGCCACAAGTCTTCAGCTAGCTCCCATGTTGCCTCGGACTCTGGTAGCCCTTTCCACTTGATTAAATACTCGGTACGCGGTGGGACTCCTCTCTTGCGGACCGTCCTGCTTGTGAGCACCGTTTCCACCTCTTTGTCATAAGACTTGGTTACTACGGGAGGTGCTCGATGCGAATACCCTCGGCTTGGGTCTTCCTTGTCGGCATGATATGGCTTGAGCATACTTACATGGAAGACAGGATGAATCTTAAGTGTACTTGGCAAGTCTAAGCGATAAGACACTTTTCCCACCTTGGCAAGTACTTGGAATGGTCCCTCGTATCTCCGTATGAGTCCTTTGTGAACGCTTCGGAGGGCTTTGAATTGTTGTGGCAAAAGCTTCACAAAGACTAGGTCTCCAACGGAGAACTCTTGATGTCGCCTCTTCTCGTCTGCCCATTTCTTCATCTTCTTTCGTGCTTTCTCCAGACATGCATGGGCGATGTCGGCGTTCTCCTCCCATGACTTAGCCATCTTGGCGGCCCCGGGACTCTTACCCTCGTCAAGTGGCATTGTCAATGTGTGCGGCGTGAGCGGTTGTTGTCCGGTCGCAAGCTCGAACGGACTCCGGCCTGTGGCTTCACTTCGCTGCAAGTTATAAGAGAATTGGGCGACGTCTAGCAATTTAGCCCAATCTCGCTGGTTAGCACTCACAAAGTGCCGTAAATAACACTCCAACAAGGAGTTCACCCGTTCGGTCTGCCTATCAGTTTGAGGGTGAAAGCTTGTGGAGAAATTTAACTCGGTGCCAAGGAGCTTGAACAATTCCGTCCAAAGGCGTCCGGTAAATCGAGGGTCTCGATCACTGATGATGCTCCTTCGTAGGCCCCAATGCTTTACGACATTCTTGAAGAATGCTCGCGCGGCCTCCTCCGCAGTGCAATCCTTGGGGCATGGTATGAAAGTCCCATACTTAGAAAATCGGTCCACGACGACCATGATCGAACCGTATCCCTCGGACTTGGGTAATGCACTAATGAAATACAAGGTGATCGCATCCCAAGGTCTTTGGGGAACTGGTAAAGGTTCCAGTAATCCCGTCGGCTGTCGGTTCTCCACTTTGTCTTGTTGGCACACAAGACAAGTCTTCACGTAAAGCTCCACGCTATCCTTCATATGGGGCCAAAAGTATGCCGTCTCTAGCAATGCCATAGTGCGCTTTTGACCCGGATGACCAGCCCACTTGGTGTCGTGACACTCTTTGACAAGATCTCGCCTTAAGTTGTCCCACTTTGGAACATAGATTCATCGTCCCTTGGTGTAGAGTAGACCGTCCTCTACCCAAAACCGTTGGGTTTTGCCATCGCTAGCCAGCTTTACTAATTCTCTTGCCATTGGATCTTGCTCAAGGCCCTCCTTGATGCGCTCCAACACGGTTCCCTTGGCTAGAGAGATCGCGGTGAGCTCCGCCTTTCGACTTAAGGCATCGGCTACAACGTTGGCTTTGCCTGGTTTATATTCCAACGTGTAGTCGAACTCGGCTAGGAAGTCTTGCCACCTAGCTTGTTTTGGTGATAGCTTCTTCTGGGTCTGAAAGTAACTCGTCGCCACGTTGTCGGTCTTGATGGTGAAGTGCGCACCGAGTAAGTAATGTCTCCATACCCGCAAGCAATGGATGATGGCTGTCATCTCCTTTTCTTGCACCGTGTACCGCCTCTCGGTGTCATTCAGCTTGCGGCTCTCAAATGCTATCGGATGTCCCTCTTGCATTAATACTCCCCCGATAGCGAAGTCGGATGCATCGGTATGCACCTCGAACGGCATGGTAAAGTCGGGTAAGGCCAAGACAAGTTCTTGGCTAACTGCTGCCTTCAGGTTCTCAAAGGCCTTTTGACATTGTTCGGACCACTCCCATGCCTTCCCCTTCTTGAGTAGGTCCGTTAATGGTGATGCTCGCGCCGAGTAACCCTGTATAAACCGGCGATAATAATTTACTAGACCAAGGAAGGACCTCATCTCACTTACCTTGGTCGGCGGTTCCCACTCGGTTATGGCCTTGATTTTGTTCCTGTCCATTAATAGCTTCCCGTGGCCGATTACATGTCCAAGGAAGTGTACCTCCTCGGTGGCAAACGTGCACTTTTCCTTCTTGACGTACAGCTCGTTTTCTCGAAGTATCTTGAACACAATCCTTAAGTGGTCTACATGTTCTCTGATGGAGTTACTGTATACCACGATATCGTTCAAGTACACCACCATGAACTGGTCCAAGTACGGTTGGAAGAGCTTGTTCATGAGCGTGCAAAACGTCGCCGGTGCATTGGTTAGACCAAAGGGCATGACCAACCACTCGTACGATCCGTATCGGGTGATGCATGCGGTCTTTGGCTCGTCGCCTTCTGCTATTCGAACTTGGTAGTAGCCCTTTTCCAAGTCCATCTTTGTGTACACCTTGGCTCATCCAAGTCTGTCAAATAAATCGGCAATCAAAGGGATCGGGTAGCGATTTTTAATGGTTACCTTGTTAAGTGCCCGGTAATCGACGCACATGCGCAATGACCCATCGTGCTTCTTTTGGAAGAGTACCGGTGCGCCATACGGTGCCTTCGAAGGTGGAATCATTCCCATATCTACTAGCTCCTTGAGTTGTCTTCGAAGTTCCTCAAGTTCGGGTGGGGCCATTCGGTAGGGTGCCAGGGCAGGCGGCTTGGCACCGGGTTCCAACTCTATCTTGTGATCCACCTCACGCCTCGGTGGAAGTTTATTTGGTAACTCGGGCGGCATCACGTCCTTGTTCTCCTCTAAGACTTCACGGATGATCAATGGTAGGTCATCCGTTTTCTCGATCTCGTCATCTTCCTTTAGCATGGCCAAATAAGTAATGTCCCCTTTCTTGATGCCTTTACCAAGTTGTATGGCCGAGAGTTGTGTGGCATCTCGACCTTGCTCTTTCGGTGCCTCGATCGTGGGGATCATGCAAGGAGACCCTTTCTCCAAGATGCAAACAGAACTAAAGGAAGGCATAGGGATAGCGGTTACCTGTCGGAGAAAGTCTAACCCCAAAACGACCTTAAAGTCATCCATAGGAATGACAGAAAAGTTCACTTGGCCCTTCCAAGTGCCTAAGCGTAGCTCGACCCCTCGTGCCACGCCATGGAGTGGTACAGCTTGTGTGTTTACCGTCTTGAGCCATCCTGTGCTCCCAGTGTACTTTAGGCCCAAACGGTTGGCTTCGTCTTTAGACACGAAATTGTGGGTAGCTCCCGTGTCCACCATGGCTCTTGTCGACTTCTCGTTGATCACCGCTTCCACATACATGAGCCCATTACTCGATGTTGGTGTCAATGGCTTGGCCTTCAAGGCGTTTAGAACTTGGAGTGACCCCATCTCGGCTTGAGACTCTGTGTCTTGACGATCGACGATGGCAGACAATGAACCAAGTTTGGGACAGCTACTCATCGGATGCGATCCTTTACACAAGAAACATCCTCCCTTGGGAACGAAGGCCTTTTTCTTCTCTTCATAGTCCCTTCGCCCCGGACGTCGATCACGATCTCCCTCTTTAGCTTGTGGCCTTCGGTGATCT